AGTAAGTAAGTAAGTAAGTACTAAATTATGCTATTTTCCTAAATAAAATATTCCAGTCTACTATAATATTTAATTTATGTATGACTTACTTAAAGATAATGTTTATGTTATTTTTTTATTGAGATCATGAACCGATTGATGTTGGACCACCACCACTGAAAACCTCGAAGCACTGGACGGCCATTTCGTCCTATTGTGGGATTGAATAATTTCATGCATCCATATCGGAAAATGAACATTTATGTACAACTCTACCCTTAATTTCACTGGTTGAAACCCTGAGTCGATTGAAGCTAGACCACTATGGAAAACCTGGAAGTACTGGACGGCCGTTTTGTCCTAGTATGGGACTTGTCAGCAGTGCGCATCCACGATCCCGCACCCCTGCGAGATTCAAACCCAGGACCTATCAGTCTCGCGCCAGGCACTTAACCAACTAGACCACTGAGCCGGCATCCAACGGTGTTAATGTCTAACTTCAACCAATCCACGAAGATGCGCCACCGTACCCTGAGTTGTTTTTTTTCTTCAAAATCTTTCAAATTTTCCCAATGGGGAAGATTGTAATTTATAAATAAACCAATGAAATGAAGAATAAGAAGTTTTGAATTTTCATATTAAATTCATTCCGTCATATAATTTAATAGTATTTTAGTATAATAGGTTGTGTTAGTGAGTGGTGAAAATCCTTAATTGAATTCCTTAGTTCACCTTATTAATCTATAACTCCTTTTTTGACCCTTATAAGTGAGTTGTCTCAAGGTCATTTTGTCGTCACCTAAAGGTCGTCTATAAATTAAGGTTTAACTGTTTATAAATTTTCATTAAATTTCATTTGTTGATTAGTTGAAGTTAGACATGAACATTGTTAGATACTGGTTGATTGATCTAGAGGTTAAGTGTTGGCGCACACGAGACCGAAGATCCTGATTTTTAGTCTCACGTCTGAGATTATGGATACGCACTTCTCAGAAGTCCTACAATAAGACGAAACGGTGGTCCAGTAATTCCAGGTTTTCTATAGTGGTCTAGCTTTAATTGACTCATGAGTTCAACCAGTGAGTTTTATTTCATTGTTTTTGTTATCCAGCTAGAACCATTTATTCAGTTTCTGTTTTGATCATATGCTTTTATCAGTGGATAATTGATATTGTAACGAAAAATTATGGTGATCTAGCTTCAGTTGACTCATGATCTTAACTATTGAAATTACTACAATCTTCACAAAACCCCTTCAGATACTAATTAACATATGCTCACTAGTGACGGTCTCCAATAGGTATGTCCTGGAGTTCTAGTGAGAAGCAGTGACCAATGGAGTTCAGTTGGGTTTGTTGTGAGATAGTAACTCACAGAAGACAATGATAGATGTGTCGCTCAATTTCGTGGATTAGTTGGAGTTAGACATTAACACCGTTGGATGCCGGCTCAGTGGTCTAGTGGTTAAGCGCTCGTGTGCGAGACCGATAAGTTCTGGGTTCAAGTCTCACGAGGCGGGATCATGGTTATGCACTACCGAAAAGTCCCACACCGGGATGAAACGGCCATCCAGTGCTACCAGGTTTTCCATAGTGGTCTAGCTTTAATTGACTCATGAATCCAACTATTAAATTATTAAACTTCCATTTTGTTATAATTACTGGTTGATCGATATCTCATGAAGAGATTCCCTAATAAGAGTCCTGGTTATATTTCTCTTCTTCTGTGTATACTATTTCGGCTATTGCCATCGTTCTAATCTAGGTTAACAAGGTTAACCTTCAGTTTGAGATGAGATAAATCTTAACTTCTATTGGTCTGGATGTATGCCCTTCTTCTAGTCGAGCTTTCAGTTCAGTAGTAGAATACAGTAGACATTAATGCAATAGTATATGCATCTCAAACAATTATGGTTTATGTAAATTAAGTATTAAACAGAAAAGTACCTCAAATAAGAGACCATAAGTTTCCAATGATCATTCTGTAATTGGTAGAGAATGAAACGAGAAGTACATGATTCAGGAATAGTAAAGTGTATCACAATAGTCGATAGACCTGAAGGAAGATTACAACATCAGGAATATATATACAATAATGTACTTATCTAATGATTAGGTAACAAAAATATAAACAATAATAATTCGGAAAATAGTTTCTAGGGTTCTAACTTCTCCGGTACTCTCTCTATTACAACACATTAAGTATAGGATTTCAGATCAATTCAAAATGCTCCTTAGCTAGTGAGTTTTTGATCTAATGCTTCATGTCTATGTAAGTATTAACGATTCGAAAATATCATAACCAAGGTATGTTAAATGATGGGTCTGACATTGATCAGTTCATGAATTCAATCAGAAACTCAACAATCTTCACAAACCTATACAGAAAAGATCTAATTATGTTTGAACTTTCTATTAAGTGGTTTAGATGAAAATTATTTATATGTTTGAAGTTATCCATCCATCATTTAATGTTCAATATAAGTAAAATATCTAACATTTTTCAATGGTTTCTCCTTCATCTAGTGTGTGTGTGTACTACATATGACAGTATGAATTTTAGTTGAACACTCCATTTCAATCATCGAACGCTATGAACATACAACTGTAACTCATCACAATTTGACAGCTAGGAGAAGTAATTGAAATGAAGGTTAGATTGTTGAAATGAAATCGTTAGTTGAAATTGTATTGTTATATGTAGGAGGGTGTGTGTGTGGCGGTACTCATCTATTAAATTAACGGAAATATGTGTGAAAATGTTCCATACCATAGATACACATTTATTATTGAAAAACGGATACTTGACTTCTATCTTTTATAATTGAGAGATCTTTTAGGAATTTTCACGGTTATCATCAAATTTTAACTTAGTAGATAATGCGCTTTTGGGTTTAAAAACAGTGAGGCTCTAATTAATGGATGAGCCAATCAGAGGCGTTTTAGAGATTTCAAGGTTATGGCGCCAACTTCAGTGCTTAATTCTAACGTACGATCGGTCCACAGGGAATTTAGTACAAAAAGTGATAATTGAGAGGCTATAACAAATAAAACATCGAGACTATAATTTGTGGACGAATCAATCAGGTATAAGATAACAGATCACGGATTTTAACGCGAAAGCCTTTCATTTATTTGGCTAAATAAATTTCTGGCAGTGTATCTGATGTTAGTTTGTGATGAAAACCCCATATATAATTCGTAACTAAGGCAAATTATGACAGTTATTGTGAACTAGATAATAAAAGCACCAGTAATGCTGGCTACAGCCAGGTACTACAGTACATACGGATGTTTGGAGAGCGTACAGACTCATATATATGCTCGGTTACATGCATCGTGTCGTTAACCCCAAGTGGCATTTTGTGTACTCAACAATCGGAGTGCACATAAACAATATTGAAGCTATGTGTTCGAGGCTGAAAGAGTTATTGGGACTTTATCATGACTCCAGTGGCCGACTATTCTGTAGCCATATGGATGATTTCCTCTACTGCATGCATTACGATTTTAAAACCTCTGAACCTCTTTCTAACCTTGACAAGTTTTTGAACCACGTACAATAAGTGTATCCACTTTATTTCATTGGTTTTGTATAACATCCTTTTACTATATACTGGCTGTTTGCTGATTGGCTAATATTACTCAAGGTCCCTTAAGATTCGTTCAAAGGTCTTCCATAAGTTAGAGTCTCGCCTTTAAAGCTATATCTAATCAGTTCTAGTTTAACCATATACATCAATACTGATATATCAATACATGTAACTGGCGAATACCGAACATGACGTAACGCTCCTCCAACTAGTGATAGATGAGAAGATTTCAATGCATTTGTCGAAGGAGCACATTTGTTAACAGAGATTCAAGCATATCATTAGAGAAAAAACACAAACACATCTATAAAGTGATAGGTTTTGTCACGGTATGATATCAACTTAAAAAAAACGGCGGAAACGAGGTGGGAAGCAAATGATACGTCAGTATTGGTTTTGACTAAGGGTGGAATTTTATGTGTTCATTGATGAAACAGTAGTCTTCAACTAAAATGAAAACACTTGGTGTTGTTTTACTTGTATCTTCCCATTGTTATTTAGGACTGGAAGTGATCAGTTTCATGTTGGCATATGTGCATCCTGTGTGGATTGCAAGTACATCCAGCTGATAAGTCCCAAATAGGACGAAACGCGCGTCCTGGATTCCATTGCTAGCTACTATCCATCTTTGCTTAAAATGAAAACAGCTACTGAATTCTGTTAGTGGTAATAACTAGTTTTAACTACTTTTAATTCTTTAAGTAGTATAAACTATTCATATGCTTTTTATTAGATAGCACTTGAAAGCCGCTTGTGTGTTGATAGAAGAATGACGATTGTTATCTAAACCTAGTTCTTTTGAGAATGAAAGTTGGGAGTGGTGTTTATCAATATTCTGAGGTGACAAATAAAGTAATTAAGATAGGCAGATGTAAGACTTGACGAAAAAATAGGTCCGTTTAAGATTTTATTTATTTTAATATTTGAGATCATGAGTCAATTGAATCTAGACCATCATGGAAAACTTGGAAGTACTGAAAGGCCGTTCGATGCCGGCTCGGTTGTCTGGAATTTAAGCGTTCACACTCGTGAGACTGATATATCCTGAGTTCAAATCCCAAAGTGCGGGATGGCGAATGTGCATTGCTGAGGAGTCTCACAATGCGACGAAATGGCCGTCCAGCGCTTCTAGGTTTTCCATGGTGGTCTAGCTTCAGTTAACTCAGTTATTAAATTACCATAATATCCACTAAAACCCCTTTCTGAAACTATGAGTTCATTCAAATTTTATTCATATTGGTTCAATTTTAAGTTGATATTAGCCACTGATTTACCTTTCATTCGAGGTACTTTAAAAAGTTAAGGAGCAATAGATAACTGTCTTGTCGTAATATGGAACTCCTTAGTAGTGTATATCTACAATCCTAATTACAAGTGAGCCTTGGACCTTCATTTCCTTCGGTCAATACTTAACTATTAGAAGAATGAGTTGGAAGGTAATGGTTTTAATATGAAGGGAATCTTCTAAGGAAACTTTCAATACCATGCATATATATAATTACTGTATTAACTAAGAAAATATGTTAAGAGTTGTAAACTTGAAATGTTATAAAGTATGTTTAATGAATAATTTTCTTTTGTCTTGAAGTTTTCATTTTACATTAACCCAGATAGTTCTTCTAATCCTTGACGATAAGTTGGATCATTTTTTCGTGCACCATACAATTGGACTTTGCTTATATCGACACGGCGAGAAGTTGATGGTATTCTTTGATTATTTTGACCTCCTTTGTAACCAGCATACGACTGAGAACCTCGGAAGATAACTTTTCTTCGATCAGCTAACAAAAGGAATAGATACATATTTAGAATTCGAAGACTATTTAGATAGTTTACAAGTAATATGTAAATAATATAAAATACCCTTTATACAACTTCACCATTATTTGTAAGAAATTGGTTTTCCTTGTTATGGATATCTTTGACTAACTTAAATTAGCCTCTGTTGGATTGCATACTTTTCTGAATATCAACAATAGCCTAATATAAACTTTTGTAAATCATAATCATAGCAACTAATTTACCCCTTTCACAATTTTGTGACTATAGTAACTCACTGGCCGTATAAGTAACAAACATTAATGTTAAGGGAGACAGATCTTGGATTCTGTGCGTAGTGTGAACATTAACATCAAGTTCTAGATACACATAGCTGACGAATTTCCATATGGATGAAACACTCATCCTAGTAAATTTGTATAACTAGTTTGTTATTATCTTAAAGAGTATACATATGAATCGTTTGTATTAGGTTTTAAAATAAAAGTCAATAAACTACAATCTTATATATTTTACTCTTCAACAATGTCCATCCACGATCCCACTCGTAGGATTCGAACCCAGTCCCTTCGGTTTCGCTTGTGAAATTTTAACCTTAATGGTGGTCTAATATTGATCGATTCATAATATCAAGCGAAAACTCGACAATCTCTACAACCCTATACTGATATTTAATCTAAATTTTACCAGTTAAGTCAATTGAATTAATAGTTAACTCAATTAATCACTAATTTGAAGAATATTCTTTGCAATGAGGGAAAATATTTGTGGTTGAAGGTGAAGACTATGAAGATGTTGAGTTCTATGAGATGGGTTACTTTTTCGTAAAACTCTTATTGTCCTTCCAGACAATATCGCCAGAACATATTTCTAAAAGAAGTAAGGGTCAGATTATAATTAATAGACGACTTTTGCGCGACGCTAAACTAACCTTAAGAGTGTCCACCTAATAACTAGGATCAAATAATGGTTACAAACCGATGTGAGGATTCAGTACTATGATTTACAGTTGATGGTTAAGGTTAGGAATCAGATTTAGAGTTTCCATCGCGAACCGACATTGAAGTGAACAAGGACACCAGTGGGGACTTGTTAATAAAATCCAACGATCAAATAGTAAATGCTTAATTTACAAAATGTCCATCACTTGTCTCAAAATGACTCAGACTTCATAGTTCTTGCATTTTCATACAAATTGCATTCTGTTTCCATTCCTCACTGTTCGATCCTCTTGTCTCTCTGCTGTCAGACCTTCTATTCACGACTAACATCATATACTATTTATGTCAATATAAGTAGTACACACCACAACACCAACTATAATGCCAAAACTCTATTTATCCAAATGGTTGAGTGAATTTCGCGTCAAAATCCGAGACTTGTTATCTTATACGTGATTGGTTCGTTCATAAATTATAGTTTCATCGAAGTAACTGTTAGAATTTTTGTTCAACAGACTAACAGCCTATTTTATTGACCTGGAACTCGATGTATTGTTCCGTGCACAATTATGAAAGATAGGTTAAAGAGTGCAGCAATTCTTCCATTCTGTAGCATATGGGTTTATTCAAATCAGATGGGGATACACAGAAGAGTTTAGCATTTAACCTTCTTGAGATGAATTTCATCTGGACAACTGATCATTAGGTAAAGCAAAAGTATATCGATCTAGCTGTAAAATCATTGTAATCTAATTAGCAAGCTTAACAACTCATTGAAGATGGTGCTTGAATATTAATTTCATCTTATATCTTTCAATAACAAATCCTCATTTACTTATTACTTCAAACAAACATTCAAGCATCGATGTAACTAGACTATTCATTAAATGGTTTTCTCCGGTTATTGATTATGTGCCGGAGTTTATTTTTTATAGGGGTAACATTACTAGCCCTATAAACAATACTCTTCATTTATTGACGTCAGGAATCGACAGTGGCACTGGGAGGGCTCCAGTAAAAGCTCATACACTAACTACAATACTTTAGAATCATATGATAATTTACTCTTCTTTATTGAGGTTCGATTAAGGGAGTAACATTAGAATTCAGTATTTAGGGTTATCCAACCGATTTCCCCTTCATTTCTATTTACAATATACCTAGAGGTTGAGGGGAAAATATTCTTTTCTAATGAGACAATATCCAGATAATTTCGTTTATCATCAAGGGTTCTATCAAACGATTCTTTGTATCTTAATGAACTTAAAATTTGTAGGTTGTCTTCGTCACAAATGAACGTAAGATAGCATACCATTGATGATCATTGTTCACTGGACAGTTATTCCCTGTTATGTTGAAATCTTTTTGCGCATCACTATGTTTGCTACTTAAGTCTTGCAATTCTTACCTCCCACAAGCGGGATCGTGGATACTCACTGCTGAGGGGTCCCACAGTAGGACGAAATGGCTATCCAGTGCTTCCAAGTTTTCAATAATGATCTAACATCAATCGGTTCATGATCTCAATCAAAAACTTAATAATCTCCATAACTCCATACTGAAAGGAATTCATCAATTCATTTATTAAAGACGATATCTTTAGACATCAAAACACAATGTACATAATGTCATGTTACAAAAATTAGAATTCGGTTAATATTAAGAATTATACAAACATTACACTAGTTATAGCTTAATGATCAGTTAATATAACTAGATCAAGCTTGAGATAGTGGAAAAGATTTGTAGCTCAGGTGGATGATTTCGATGGGTTTTTTTCTCTGAGCTGAATAATTTAGTCGTGGAGCTTTCATCGTTCTTCTAAACGACATCATCAGCACAAACTTCAGGTAGACTTCTACTTGAAAGCTCCACGACTAAACCATCCAACTGAAAGAACAAAACTCCATCAAGATCAAGCTTAGACAATCAGTGCTCTTTTTCTTAAAGCATTCAGGAATACAAATGTTACATAGTAATCTATATACATACAAACCATAAAACTAACCTTCTATGTTGGCTACACAATACAATGTTAACACTACAAATGATAACCATATAACTGTTCTCATTATTTATCACTGATTTATCTGACAATAAATAGATCATTCAAATTGTTTAGAATATAAGAAAAGAAAAGTGAATGAAAACAACTAATATTATTGTTATTTATTTCAACACATAAACATTGGTACAAAGGGGCACCAAATACATAAGCGTCAAACAATAACAATAAGGCCAGTAGTAGTTATCATTGATTTGTCTGAAGACTGTGATACTGCCCGGGTGCTCAAACCAAAGTAGGTTGTCTTCTTAGGAGGCCATCTCCCGAGCCTTACACCGAAAGGTCTAATCCATAAAGCAATGGAGCAACGTAAGCAGATGCAGTCCCATGGTAGCCGGTAACCAACAGTAGGCTCATACACTATTTGTTCTATCAGGACCCTTGAACCTATGTGCATCATTGGTTTGGAATGAGGGTTTTCCAACTCCCCTAGGTGGAACCTGCACACCAACCAACCCGATTAAGGTGCTGGACATTCGCTTTTCGGCCTGTCAGTTTCATAAACAACACCCGTGGTGTGAGAAGGCACAGAGTAGGACTTCTCTGGTAATGGTTGTATGCACGTGTCCCTGTGAGAGCATTTCGAAAGAGAGTAAGAGCTGACTCTCCTTACTCTTAGCCATACCAGGGTATTTAAGGGCTTCAACTGACTCATAATCTCAACTATTTAAATTACCATAAAAAAAGATGATCCATGTTCAATAATAAGATGAATACTTTAACAAGTAAAATAACACTTACTTTAGAGAATTTATCCTTTCCAATTAACAACATTCAATAATGATCTAAATGATTGTTTATATACATAAATGAATGAGACAAATGTCACTAATTAAATAGCTCAATACAAACTGTTGTTTGTTTGTTTGTTTGTTTATCTGGGGGGTTTTTTCCCCCTTCTTGTCATCAACTGGATCATGGCGACAATATTTGAATGGATCTATACATAGTTGTTTGATATAATTATACCCGGAAGTTGATGATTAAATATATAAATATTTATACTGTATACATGGTTTAAATTACAACAATATTCAATCAATCACTTTGTTTATGTAATAAACAATTTGATAATGTTCATAGTGTTATATCTTAGTAAAAAGTAAACTATAGACACCTTCTAAAGACTAATAATCTATCTATCTATCTTCATATTGTATAACTATTCAGTAAGTAGATGGTGTATATCTCATCTATATTCCTCTTTATTTTGATTTATAGATTATTTCAATAGTTGAGATTATGAGTTAATGGAGGCTAGATCTGAAAGTACTGGACTAACGTTTCGTCCTTATATAGGACACTTCAATAGTTAATAGTTTAATAATCATTTTAATTCATAAGTCAATCGATTAATATATATATATATATATATATATATATATATATATATATATATATATATATATATATTAAAACAGAATAATTGTACAGTACTCCTTAGCGTGTAATAATTGTCAACTGTAAGTCAATCTATCATGTTTACTTCAGATCTATTCAATTTAGTAATGATAATAATCTACTAACTACGAAGTTGATCCTATGTAACCTGTAATGTCAACCGAGTTGTGAGTGGTGATTATGATGATTATGATGAATTCCTTTCCAACAGTGATATTTGATAAATTTATAAGAAAAAAAAGACCCAAGATGATAGATTTACGAACACCATAATCATTCGTAAAGAGTTATATGTAGCTGTGACTGCGTGATTTGCGTTGGTGTTCTCTATGTCGTATGTGGCTTTTTCTCTTGCATATGTTGAGGCCTACTAATCCATAGACTGTTGCTACACTAGTTGTCTTCATTTACATTTGTTGATGTGTATGGGAATATTATATGAGAATATATACTACTCATCTAGTACCTTTCAGAGTATCTATTAGGATGACTAAACTGTAGTGACTCACATTTATCACGAGAACACGACTGGTTTAATAAAAACAATTATTATTATAACCAACTGTACCAGTGCTTGTTTTAATGTGCTTTTGTTTGACTGTGCTAATGACAGCTATATTTTGCTTCCATTCTTTTACTTACACTTTGATTGTAACTTCGCGCGAATTCGGTTACCTTCTGTAACCAAGGTTGTATCCTGGCACGATCTCGGTATCCTTTCGATGCCACGAGATCGCCAGCTAATAAACCTCGACTTGGTCCATTAACTGTCTTCTGATATTTGGCTTCTCGGGGATTTTATGGATCTATTTGGTTACGTCCAACCTTCGCCTTCTGATTAACTTGGCACGTGTTTCTCTGTAACGGTGTTCATAGTTAATCTCAACTCGACGCTACGCTACAAAACAAACAACCAATCATTACCTTCCTCATCTACACATCAGATTGAAATTGTAGTTAAACAATAACTGATTATTATGTGTAGTAATTTGTATTTTCACTATCATTTTACATGGAGTGTTTTCTGTACATTATTTATTGATTTTAGTTTGCTAAATTGAACATGAATAACACTAAAGTATCTCTATTGATCAGTTTCTTTTACGTTGAATGGATTATTTGACTTTTGATTAGTCAACTTTAGTTGTTAGGATCATCTTTACTATAAAGTATTTACAATTGATTGATCACTGGATGGTGATCAATGTCAGGTCCTTCTTGGCGCAAATCGAATCCCATCGACCAAGTTGCAATGTGGTCACCAGTTTAGGTGACTCGATACTGCGTGCACTATGTTAAGATAAGATGGTGGTTGGAGATAGTCAACTGGAAACCCTGAACCTACGTTTCGTGGTACTTAATACTCGTCAGCAAGGTGTACTTGTAATCTTGAGGAAACTAGTGCCCCCTGATGGATTCGATCCCGTGTCACGCAGCTTCAACATAATTTCATGTGGGAGGATAATGTTAGAAAATCTATGTTTTGAATTCTAGATATCAATGATTAATGTACACACAACCGATATGTTGATCAAATACAAATCCAGGGACCAAGTGAGTTTGTTTCAATTTCGGTTGTTAATTTTAAGACTAATGAGTATATCTTAGATCATAGATAGTCTACATTCAATACGCAGTCGAACGGACACACAATAAACTAAAGGAGAAGTATAATCGACTACAGAAATTCAGATTCTCATTTAAGTTGTGGCAGATGTGATATTTGTGTAAATTAATCATTCCTTTGTACTTAATTGCCCGCCTATGACGAATTCCAAATACAATACGTTCATTTGTGCTTATCTAGTTTTACTTACTGTAAATTGAACTATTTCGGGAATTCCTAGTTAGTACATTATTTCGAATACTTCTAATCATCATAATAATTGATCAGAAGAGATTGCGTTAGGTAAACCAACTTCTCATAGAATATGTCTTCGAAAAGATCTTTAATTACATGTTGAACGATGAATGAATACATAGATCAAGGAACAATACCACCAAAAGCATCTATCTGAGATACTTAACTGATGATTTGTGGTCTGTTTTTGATTTTACATGATTCAGAGTATATCAATATTATCTCTTTTCAAAATAAATCCCATTTGTGACAATACACTTATCTCATTCCTATCATCACTGTCTAAAGAATTAATGAAAATCATCGGAAGTCAACCCCTTCAGCCGCCTTGTCATTGAAAACTTTCTCTTCGTATTCCTTAATGTTTAGCCACGATCATGTGCACAGATTCAAATCATCTGGACAGTGAGTTGACAATCACAACAGACGATGAACCATAAACGTTGAACGTTCCCGTCAACACATGAAGTTTCTAGACTTTCTAACATTTTATCATCCTTTTAAATCTTAATATAACTTTTAACCAACTTGAAAAGAGCCATTTTCCAATACATTACCTCTTTAAACAGTCATTAACATTAAACTAAATTCCAGACATTATTATTCATGTATCGCTGAGAGTAATTTAGTCTCTGGTATGGGAAATTAAGTTTCCGGTAAATATTACTAATATTTGACCCTAATCATTTTCAGTCACAACCAATAAAATGATATTTGTCAAAGTCAATTAATTATCCATCCCAATCTATTAGTTTCTTTGAATGAGAACATCTTTTTTGAAGTTATACAAACAAAATTCACTAATTATCCATAAAATGTAATTACAAGTAATTAAATAGTTCAAAGTTATCATTTTTGATACGAAAATTTCCCAAAATAATCATCTCACAATACTGATTGAGACCGGAATTTTCAAATTATCGGTGTGATCAAAATCACTTTGAAACAATGAACAGTTAAATAAGTAGTTTTAATAGTTGAGATTATGAGTCGATTGAAGCTAGACCACCATGGGAAACCTGGAAGTACTGGACGACCGTTTCGTTCTACTTTGGGAATCCTCAATGGTGCACATCAACGATTCCGTCTCGCGAGATTGGAACCCAGGACTAATCACTCTCTCGCGCGAGCGCTTAACCATAAGACCACTGAACCGGCCGACATCCATTGGTGTTAATGTCTAACTTCAACTAATTGACGAGATTGAGCGACACATCTACCAGATCAGTGGAAATATTTACTTCAGTGAACTGAACTAAACCTATCAAAAATGTTCATAACTACATACAAACATAGACGTTAATGTTATGGTGGAAACCAAGAACTGTTTGAAATTAATCAATCACTTTCTTCAGTCTATCCAGTTAGATCAGGAACTGTTTAGATTAGATTTAGTTCACGTCATATTCGCACTTTAATGAAAAGCTTCTAGGTGGTTTTCTCCATAGATCGATATCAATCCTGGAACTAATAAAAACTAAAGATCACTAGGTAGTTACTGACGATCCCGCCAACGATTAAGTTTAGAAATTTTAAGTATCGTATTGAAACCACAGAGCTGGCACGTAATAGTTTGTATTTCCAACATCAGTTAATTCACAGTGTTACGAGATCATCTTCTATTGCCATGTGTGATACTTATCCTACACCCGATATGGCTGAACTCCACAGTTCACTATTTCCACTATGATAAATATAGGCTTATTAACTACATAGGAGGCTTTTGAAAATGAATTATGAATTATGCGTTGATTTTACTTATAAAACCTTCAAAAACCATAAATTACTGAACAACTATACCATCCTAGCAATCTTCAATCCATATAAGTCCATGGTGTATAATATATCCCGTGCTTTTTTGAGACGTGGAGGTCTTAATAATCCAGTCATTAGCTAGCAAAGAGAAGAAAGAATAGGGTAGGCGACCATTTTCGACACTAGTCTTCACTAAGAACATATTTTTGGACTCTTCATGCATACCTATATACTATCTGAGGTCATCATCATCATAGGGAATTCCGACTGAGGACTCAGCTTCATAGCGTACTGTTGACCAGAAAAAGATTTTGGACGCACAGTGTAATTAGGCACCACCAGATAGTCCGTGAGCCCCTTCATTACATGTGATACCCATGACTGCCGCCCGTGTAGGAATTATCGACGTTTGGACAAACCGACAATACTGAACAGATACCTAATCCCTCACCTGCAGGACTTTTCGTCGACATTAAATGAAAGCAGTTTTATCCAAATTCCACTTAGTAAGAGCTTGTAGTGGCTTTGGGCTCTAACCACGCAATCCTCAAAATTGAGCACGAGACAACTGGGAAAATAAGCGTTCAACATTTAACGCGGAGAAAAAGCGAACGAACGAGAAGGCGGGAAGAATGAATTCAGTTGAATCCAATCGAGTGGTACGGCTCAGCCTCGCTCTGTACACCTTGCTTCTACTCATATTAAATATATTGTCCTATCTCCAGCCTGAATGAGTTCCCCATCATTTAGTGGTAATTGTTACAATACGATGAGCCAGGGTAGATAATGACGTGACCTCCACGTGAGGTCTTATAGATTTCGTAGTCACATCAATGACAAACCTACAATTCTAGGATTAGGTCCATTACTAGAGCAGTACTAATAACGAAGTAGACCATAATACTACAAGCCTACAATCGCATTCCGGGGACGACTGAAGATCTAGAAAAAACTACCTCCATAAAATCTTTCGGCGTGTCCGAATTCTTAAGGCTGTCATTTGTATTTAATAACATTTAAACGATTTATGAATGTGATTAAGAAACGGAAGAATTTCATGTACGTATATATTGATGTTCTGGTTGGCAACCCCTTTAAAATGGTGTAGAACT